AATAAAGTATGTTATTTCCCGCGGCCTTCAAGTGTGAGACTTTATAATTTAACTATATTTAACTAGAGTCAACGTACTCTTTTATTGTCGACATATTTCTCCAGAAGATTTTTATTGTCATCAAAAACATCTAAAAACATGTTTTATATTCTTCAATTAAATAAATAAAACACTTTAAAATATTTATGTGGCATTTAATATGAAATATGAAAAAAAACATTTAAAAAAAAAAAAAAAAAATGTATCAACGGATTTCTATAGAATTTTTTTTTCGCTTTTCTGAAAGAAGAATTGTTGAATAGCATAACGTGTATAATGTCCATATGGTATATTTGTAGATGAAAGGCGGTATTGTATAATAGACGTGAGATAGATAGATTATAACCCCCCTATGGATATCAAAACACATAAAGAGGTATATATTAATGACTTCTGTAATAAACAACTGCCTATTCAAAGTCAACATGGCTGAGGGTTTTTTAACCTGCGGCGTGAGATGGTCAACAAGAATTGTTTAAAAACGGCAATCATCTAGGAAGAATATAATTACAATAAAAATGAGATTTATAGAAATGAAACGAATGGTCCCTTGTTGAAGGTGACTTGTGGAATGTGAGGCTTTATAGCTGATTAGAAAACTTTCCTATATCATATACATTCAAAGTTCGAAGAGTTTAAACATACATTATGAAAGAAGTGAATCTGCCTAATGCAGGTCTTACTTTAGGCCTGAAATGTTATCTAAATTATTAATTATTAGACATTAATTAACAAAACAAGACAATAATCAGCTCTCGGTGCCATCGGATACTCGAGATTTTAACTAGATTAGAACGCTTCGCCATTTAAAAATTTAATTTAAAAATGGAAAAGCGAGGCTAAGTCTCGAATATATCAGGGCCCTGGTTACAACTATGCACACATCTTGTCAAAACTACTAACAGTAATAACTTGGAACAGAATGAAGTAATTTGAATGAAATTTTCAATATTTTCATTTTACATTATCTATTTTTGAGCTATTATAGCAAGAACGCCCAGTTCTTTATTTAAATCTTACATAATGTATCTTTAAGAATTACAGTATTCAAACATTGTATTTAAGAAATGTTTTACGTTGTACTGGAGAAATGTTCAATAACCATACTATAGAATGTTTTAACTTCGTACTAAGACTGGACGCAGTTTGTTTCTTATAAACTGCTAACAATATTGTTACTTCAGGGGTTTCTAACAGCCAACAAATAAACAATAAATACTACTCCGGTCTGTTTGAGACTAGCATCCGGTTAGTTGGTTCTATGGTCAAATACTACTCCGGTCTGTTTGAGACTAGCATCCGGTTAGTTGGTTCTATGGTCAAATGACAGGAAGCTACGATGGTTCAGTGTTCAAGACTTTGGTTCGATCCCATTGTGCCCCCCACCCCTCTCGTCAGTAGTGCAGGACGCAGGCCCTGACAAAGGAAGACCTAATAGTCGTTTGGATGGGACTAAAAAACGAGGCCCGTGTACACGTAAAAAATCTATTAACAGTTGGATTTGATATAAGAGTAGACCGTAGTGCCGATGTCCGGGCAAATTTCCCTCATAGCACACTGTATGGCGTATGCCCGTCTTTATTAGTCCAGTCGGTACAGAACAGTAGGACGTTAAACCCCATTTCATTTCATTTTATTTTGCTATGAATGAGAAGTTTACCTGGAAAATGACATGTCAGTCAACTCATCATCGAATTCCAGCATTCAAGACTGTTTTTTTAGGTATTCGCCCATATGTACACGAAGTCCTTTGATCCAAGCGACTCGCAACACGTGAAAATAAAACATTGAAATGAGTTGGATTTATCACATATAATACTTCGATTAATTATGTCACTTCCGGTGTGGGCAGTGAGAGTACACCGGGATTTTTACAGCGTGGTGTCCCCTTGTCGGTGATACAGGGCGCATCGCTTCGTAAAGAAACATTAGGACGATGGGATGGGATGAAAAACCGAGGTCCCCAGTAAACGTTGGCGTGCACGTAAAAAAACAAATGACAGTTTCATTTCAATTTCTCTGGTAGCACAGTCAATCTGATTAAAACACAGAGCCTATTTCGTTTCGTTTTTTTATAGTTCAAAATTTCGTTTTACTTGCCTTTATTACAGTAGGATCTGGAAGCGTTGTTATATAACCCGTTTTCTGGTTGATGTAAGGGTTTAGTCAATGAAACGGTATGTTGTAGTGAGTTCTTGGCGGGCGATGCACGGAACCTAAGGAATCCTACTAGATACCACTCGAATGACCTCAGACGCGACCTCCCACAACAACCGGTTAGATCTTCATGTAGTAGATGCCATCGAAAGTATAAAAAAAAACGAAACAAAATATTAGATTTGTATTTTAATCAGATTGGTATGGCGCATGTCCTTCTTTATTAGCCCGTTTGGTGCAGAAAAGTAGGACGTTAAACTCTATGTCAATTCAGTTTTGTGAAGACAGATAGGTAGCAAACACTGATTATTTTTAAGATTTATACCATATGTACATATTGACTGGTTGTAGTTTTGATTTATTATTGATTGTTTATTAATATCTCCATATAACAAGAAGGGGTTGGTATTCGATCCTTGTATTATCTACAATTCCATTCCTCTCCTAGTCGGACCGAATTCTCTACCCTGACACCTGTATATAAACCTGGTTGTGACTAATCATTGGTATTAATGTCCAAGGAATTCTCATTCGTATGTTGTTACGAGGTAAATCAATTTTATTATTGTCTGTCCTTTGACTAGATATTTTCCTGATCGGGTTGCCAGCGGCTATTAGTGAGTATTGGGGATGAAAGTAGAATAAAGGTCTTTAAAACACCAAATAATATAATATTAACATACGTCACTGATGGCTCGAAAGGACGAGGCGGTAATTCCGAAATTACATTTAGATCGACGGGTTTCTAGATACAACGCGAGAGTCGCCGTTAAGCCAGCACGACGAAAAAGGCGCCGATCGGCGCCTTTTTCGTCGTACTACCTTATCGGCGACCCGCGACTTTCACAACACGAGAGTCGCCGTTAAGCCACGCGCCGAAAAAGTCGCCGAAAAAATCGGCGCCTTTTTCGGCGACTTGCTTAACGGCGACTCTCGCCTCGGAAGTTTATAGTTAGTTACATGCGCAATGGCTACATTTTACGCACACAGATCACCAAATATTTCTACGCCGTAATGTAGGGCGAAAGTTATTTTTAGTCTTTCTCTCCCTTTCCCTTTTCCCCCTTTTTTGCATGGCGACTTTTGGTGTAGAATCGAAGAAAGGGGTTTGAAAATACATTTTCTGCCAGGTTTTGGTGAATATTCATGATTTTGAGAGGTCGGTTTAGGTTGAAATGTAGGGCCGAAAATTGCATGTTTACTTGTCCCTACTTCCAGCTTGTGTATTTCAAGTTTTTCATGGTAAACCTCATACATGCTTTTGTGCAAAAGTTTGCCACATGTTGCTCCATCTGTGGCAGAAAGTAGGCTAGCCTACAAGTCCTAACTCCTCCAAATTCTCCTCCATTTTATATACAAGACGTAAAATGTAGCCATTGCGCATGTAACTAACTATAAACTTCCGAGGCGAGAGTCGCCGTTAAGCAAGTCGCCGAAAAAGGCGCCGATTTTTTCGGCGACTTTTTCGGCGCGTGGCTTAACGGCGACTCTCGTGTTGTGAAAGTCGCGGGTCGCCGATAAGGTAGTACGACGAAAAAGTCGCCGATCGGCGCCTTTTTCGTCGTGCTGGCTTAACGGCGACTCTCGCGTTGTATCTAGAAACCCGCCGATCTAAATGGACGCTTTCAGCCACCATAGACTGAACACCGTTGTATTATTTATAAACATATTAGTTAAATGTGACGATGTGGTGGTATTTCATCCAGATCTTCATTCACCCAAATAAAAAAACAATTATAGTAATAGATCACTGAAATGTTAAAGTCGAATCGATAAACCCTGGAAGTCGACTCAATGACTCAATAAACCCGAAGGTCATTTCGGTACTAACATATGGTACAGCTTTATTTCAACAGGGGGGTAGGGGACATTAGGCGCGGGGCGAGGCAGGGGAGAAAGGGTGCATTGGGAGGGGGGAGGGGACCCGCGAGGTCATGCAAGCCTGTGACGTCATTTGATTCAAGTGAACGCCTTAGAAAACTGACTCCCGCCCCCTTCATCTTACACCCCGCCACCTCTTTCCCGTCCCCTCCCTCTACCCCGTCCCCTCTACCCCACGTCGTAAAAATAGTCCTCAGGCTATTGTTACGACGATCCTTTCACAGCCCTCCATCGGCGAAGTTAAAAACTGAACAGTCGTAAAAATAGTCCTAACCCTAACCCTAGCCCTTCCCATCTCTTAATTGCTGCCTTTAGTTCTGAAAACGTTGAAAATACTGCTCCTTTTTCAAAGCTGGTGTTGGGGAGATTGGCAGCCATTTTGGAATTCGTTCTGAACTTGGCTCAGATTCGTCGTAACAACAAACACTTTGAATATTTATTGCAATGCGAAATATTTTTTTTAAAAAATCTGAAATATTAAAAAAAAAAATCTGAAATGTTAAAAAAAATCTAAAAAGTACTCAGCTAACCTGATTCGAATAGCATTTGTTAAAATTTCTAGCTCGTTTGTTAAATTACCAGAAAAGGGAGAAACAAAGGACTTGAAATACAACAGCTAGTAAGAAACAAAGATGTTAGAATTTGATGGAATTAATTCTGATGGAATTAATTGTCCACTTGAAACAGTGGGTCATTTCTGTTTGTATGAATAATAAATAGAAATTATAAGTTAAACGTGATGAAACAGAGGTTGACAAAATACCAGACAAATAAAATAATAATATTAACAATAAGTGAAACAAGCTACTAGAGATGTTAATTAACTATAACATCTGAATAGAAACATGCAATAACAATGTTCCTTATAAACCGAGAGAATATAACAAAAGACGTACAACGTATATAAACGTTAAAATTATCTTCATCATTACAAACGATGAAGCTAGAGACATGATTTAATTTTTAAACACTTAAAAATCGAGTGTCATCTTGGGTTGGTTTTTTTTTAAAACAACATCGGCTTGGATTAACCTTATTTTGGTGTTTTGATAATCAAGGTAAATATTATAACATTTATAACCTGATGACCTTTAATATATTTCTGTTATATATGAGCGCGTGAGGTGGTAGGTGAGATAAGAGATTACCAACAGATTATAGGAATATTTGGCTTCTCTAAGAAGAACAGATTTGCATTAAAAACAACTTAAAAAATAATTTAAAGTAATTATAGTTTATGAATAGAATAGAGATAGATTTAACACCTCTGGTCAATCTATTTTTTACCAGTTTTATTTGCCAGAGAAAATTCCAACAGGATTAGAGACAATTTACATGCACTTGATTTTCTGTAGATGTATGATAAAGACGGACATACGTCATGTTTTAAAAAGAGTAGACATAATCTGCCTCGTTACCTTACCATTAGGAAATGAAATGAAATGGGGTTTAACGTCCTACTGTTCTGCTCCGAACTGGGCTAATGAAGACAGGCATACGCCATACAGTGTGCTATGAGGGACATTTTGCTCGGATAGTGGCACTATCGCCTATTCTTATATCGATTTCTAACTCCCAAGGATCTTTTACGGTGCACGCCAATGTGTACGCGAGACCTCGGTTTTCCGTTCCATGCAAACGACTAGACAGCTGTGCTTGTCAGGCCCTCGGTCCTGCACCACTGACAATGCAGGAATCGAACACGCGACCTCTTGGCTAGCCATACCATTAGGATTTTAATATAAAGTTTAATAATATTGAATAATGTCACACTGACAATATAAAACGGTGTACAGGTCGTGTCAGTGAATAAACTTTAACCCTGTGAATGGTATGACAAACCGATCTTCCGTGTATACCCTTAGTACATAGACATCCAAATAGTCCCACACTATGTCCATCTTCAATAGACCTGTAGAACGTTAAAATCCATTTCATCTCATGTCACTTTCAGTCTGGCAGCCATCACCCCTTCTAAAGAAGTTTTATTTATAAATCTCCTGTATCCTATAATGTAATATGCATTTAAAATATAATTTATATTATCGATGACACTGCTTGAGATACTTTGTGCAGACAAAGAAGAAAGTCTATGAAAGCGTGGGTTGGAAATCCCGATTGTAAAAAGGAATATGACCTAGGGTGCTTTGCCCCCTATTCCTCTAGGGTGGTCTCTCCCCTATTCCTCTAGGGTGGTCTGTCCGCTATTTGTCATGGAAGGACACAAATTAAATGAGGAACAATAATTAGACCCTATGTACAGGCTGTCTAATACGCATGTGTCACTATTCTAGGTAACCTCTTATACCACCTAGTGGGGGTATTTGTGTAGGTCAATGTGGTCTGTATAAAATTAAGGTATCACGAAGCTGTGTGAGATTAAGGTATCACAAAGCTGTGTGAGATTAAGGTATCACAAGGCTGTGAGAGATTAAGGTAGCACAAGGCGTGCGCCAGTAGTTAGGTGATGTAAAAGTATAACAGGGGTGTCGTAATAGCCATAATTTTGTTCAGAGACCTTTTCATTTTCCATCCACGGTGCTTCATGTCTGCCTTCTTCCATACAAGGTGCTTCATGTCTGTAACCATGGACTGTATACGTCCCATGTCTGTGACCATGGACCGACCATGTCTGTGACGAGTTGAATTAATACACTTTGTATAATCAGGCGACGCAAAGGTGATGTATGCTCAATGTTAGGAGGGCGAGGGTGAGGCTATGGTTGCATAGTGTTACGCCGCGTCACTGTGGCGTCATCACGTTGTTACCCAGCGCACAACCTATACCAGTATAATGCAGAATACTGGCCGTGACTCAGACTACTGAAATATAGAAATATTTAAATTTCTACGAGTGTTACGAGACATGAAGGTACCATAGTAGTTGCGTAGCCTTTTGCGGCAACTGGCTGTCAAAAACCACTTGCGGAGATACGGGGTGGTGACGCAGGGGTGATGCTATAGTTACGTTAGTGTTACGCTGCGTTAATGTGACCTGACTACAGAGTCTACGCACTACCCACGCCAGGGGGGTAAAGCAAGTCCGTGTGAGCCAAAATTTAGTTCGTTAAATTCCGATATCTAAATGGAATATTCTCGGGAATGTAGATGGAGGAGGTATGTTATCAGATGAGAAAGGGAAAAGTTATTCCTAATATAGTTCCATTTGTAATGACATGTAGGCTACATCTGAGTATATTAAGGGTTACGGTAAGGGTTAGGTCATCAATGCTTATAAAGTATTTGAGATGGTCGTAATTCATGAACACATTATTTAGAAGATAATCTTTATTCGTAACACAGAGCAGAACATTAGGACGTTAAACCCCATTTCATTTTATATGCGTAAAACTGTGGTTATGAATATCGCGATAAAAAGAGTGAGTAATTCCTCACGATCGTCACTGGACTTCAATAGACTGAGTAATTCCTCCCGATCGTCATTGGACTTCAACAGAGTGAGTAATTCCTCTCGATCTTGTTTCATATCCTTATGAAGGGATGTGTCTTTCGGATTTCTTTTGCCGTTATGTGGTTTAACTGATTAGTGGGTTCGCTACTGTCTATTGAAATATGGTATAACTCCGACTCACTACCGAGTTGGGTCCAAGTTCTAGTAGTTCGGAAGAAACGTAAAACCCCTGATGTATGGAGGAATTTCAATAGAGGGTGTGGCAAGGTTAAGGAGGGGCAAGGTAAATAAAATAGCAATGTTATTCGGATTGCAATTACATTCCACGAAAATTAATTTTCTTACAATTTTAATCCAAGATTTCGTATGTACTATAATGCGGTATTTGCCGTTTCAGTGAGTCACTGTGCGTGATGGCCCAAAGAGAGATGGGGCAATGACCCAGCGCCCCTCAATCTGTTCAGTGTTGTGTAGATTTTGTTGTTACTGGCATTCTAATATGTTCATTTCGATATACTCAGGTTTAAAATAAATGGGACCTTTGTGGACTTTCTAAAAAAAAAGTTCACAAAAAGTTCGTTTTTTGTTTTTATTCAGATTTAAAAGAACATCCTAACCCCACGGGTTCCTACAGCTTTTTTATACCAACTCAACATGAGTAGAATCGTTCATGCCAAACTTGAAATATATTTTCATATATTTACAAAGCATCTGCGTCTTAATTATACATTTTTAAAAATCTTTTATAAGTATTTTATGATAATTATATTATTACGTGCCAGTAGGTAAACTGGTAATATCCTCGCCTTTAGTTCTCAAAACGTGTGCAGAACGTGTTGGTTTCTATGAGTTGAAAACCTTTTTTTAACTCTTAATTAAGAATATGCAGCATCTCAAATATCCCACCATGTTAAGTATAAGTTTGTTTGAGAAACATTTGAATTGACAACTCCTCAGAGGGCAGATTGTCTCTTTCAGGGAGCGCTTGTTGGTAAGTCATAATATTATACCTTGACTTTTTGGGGGAATTTCTTAAAGAATTTCAAGACTCCTTTTTAAATGTGAGTGTGCGTGTGTGCGTCGGGGGTGGGGTGGGGTGGGACCGTTAAAATACAATATCTCTTAATTCCGATTGTTGCGATTTGTTTTTAGCTATTTATGATTGGGCAAGGGAAATCTTGACTATGTTGTTTAGCTATAAGTTGGCCATGGTTACTCTGTCTAGACCACGTGATACCGCTAATCAATTGGTTCGTTTTTATTCTATCTACAGTGTATGCTTCAATTTAAAGTCACAATATCAATTTTACTATTAAAAAATAATGAGAAGCGATTGTGCACTATTGAACTGTCGGCTTGAATATTTTAGCAATATTCTAAATATATTAATTTATATTTTTATCTTTCTTTGCTCTTTATTCAAACACATTTTTGTGCGTTTTGTGTTATTTAATGGAGGTTTTACTTACTTTTAATTTGTATTTTTGTTTTTGTGTTGTTGTTTTTTTTAGGGGGGGGGGGGGGATTTAGTTCTCTTTTTTAAAAATATTTTGATTCAAAATGGTAAAGTTTATTACTTTAGTTGTGGTCATCCTTTAATACCATTTATTCCTGGAAAATATTACAAAACACAATTTGAATTTTTTTCTTTTATTTTAGAAATAAATATCTATATTTTCAGGACTTTGGTATTCAGTAACAGATTTCCACGTCAGTCAGATCATTGACCATGGCGAGTAATGGCTCTAGTATAACAGGTCCTCCAGCACCAGGTCAAATCTGTGCTAATTATAATGGCTCCGGCTCCTTGGGTGCTCATTTCCAACTCGACTACACTCTGGCGGACACCACCAAAGTCGTTTGTGGAAGTTTGTCCTTTCTACTTGTTCTGCCGTTTGTATTATTTGAGATTAAATGTTTCCCGATTGGAACCACAACTTCCGTTCTGACCGGCGCTGCCTTGATGGTCATCACCACGGTCCTAACGCAGGAGGATGTTTATCATTTATTAGGAGAGACGGAGAACCTCCGAACCATTTTCTTACTGCTCGGTATGATGTTACTGGCTCAGTTCTTTGAACGCGAGAAAATGATTGGAAAAATTCTGAAGATGTCATTAAAAGAATCTCATTCGTTTGCCAACTATATCTGGAGAGTCAGTCTGGTAACTTTTATCTTTGCGGCTTTGTTTACAAATGATGCGGCTTGCGTTGTCCTTACACCAATCTTCTTAAAATATTGGGAAAAGCAGAAACGAAAACCTGCCGAACTCCAGACCCTTCTCTTGGCCATAGCAACATCGGCTAATATCGGAAGCGTCACTACAATATTTGGAAACCCGCAAATGGCTTTGATCGCTTCTCGAACGGACACCGAAATGTTTAGATTGAGTACATTAACTTTAGTCCGAAGTATCATCTATTTGGGAGTTCCCGCTCTGATTGCATTTTTCATCAATTTCGGATTCTTAATGTTGCACTTTGAAGTCAGAAGCAGACTGAAGATGCGAAAATATGGGATCGCCAGCACCTTCTCCAAAGCCCGAACAAACGATCCATGTACCAATGGACAAAACTCTCCTGGTGAAGATTATGCTTTCTATGGCGGCCAGGACGCAGCTGGACAAATCCAGGATGGTCAAGTGCAGACCTTTACAAAAGTAGACTCTAACAACGGTAACTGTGTGATGGATGAAGTTCCTCTACCAAACACCACTCCGATAACCGACAATGCCTTCGACATCGCTCTCAGTAAATCGAGCACCAAGAGCAACAAGAAAATAGAAGTTGAGCAGCAGTCTGATGTAGCCTATCAGTTTAAACAAAGTCATTCTATGGTGTTTAAAGTCTTCCTCTGTGTCCTTCTAACAGTCGTCATTATTCTTATGTTCATCAAACTGGATGTTGTTGCCTTTGATATAGGTAAGTAGAGTTCAATATAGAGTTCAATATAACAGATTCCCGGGCTAATTCGGATAACGACAGAATGTCGACTCGCCATAATGTAAAGTGATATAAGGTGTTCATAAAAAGGTAAGTATACCCTGTCTCGGGCCCTACAGCCGTCATTATCCCCGTGTTACCAGACGCACCAAGTGGTGTAAGGGGGTACATATTAAGTCAGACTTGATAAAATTATATTTCTAAAACATGTTGGAGTTTGACCTGAATACTCAAACAATGTCTTTATAACCAATTGGGATAAACGTCATTGCTTTGTTGGTGTAGACACGCCGTGGTCTTGACAAGCAGAACAGTATAGATTAACGATTAGTACCCAGGTTGTATTCTTCGTTCTCTTGTTATTGGGTGCGTGGAGTAAGTGTGGTCAATCTTTATCAATGATTCTGATTATTTGATATCCGTAAAAATGAAAATAAAACCGGTAAATGTGAACCCGACACTTAGATATTTTACTATAATTCAATGTTTTAATACAAACACATCAATTTATCTGTTTCAGGTCTAGTCCCAATGGCTGGAGCCACGTTAGCTCTGGTAGTAGACGCAGCCTTGAACAAGAGAAATGCGTCTGTTATTATGGGAAGAGTTGATTGGGGAGTGATTATGATGTTCTTTGGTATCTTTGTTTGGCTTCATGGTATTAACACTACCAGAATTCCTCGATGGATCTGGAAGCAAATGGGTCTGGCTGACGCCAACTTAGATGATACCCAAACGATTGTTATTCTCTGTGTTTTTGTTATTTTCTGTTCTAATATTTTCAGTAATGTTCCTTTGACTATAATAGTTCTAGATCAGTTGGAACCCTGCAAAAACCAATTTGCTCTGGTTTTGTATTTAGCATGGTGCTCTACCATAGCGGGCAATCTTACATTATTTGGTAGTGTAGCCAACTTATTGGTGGCTCAGAAAGCTAGGGAAACTTTAGATGAACCGCTGACTTTTATGGGTTATTTGAAATATGGCTTCGTTTCAACTCTTATAATTGTCATCATTGGTATTCCAATAATCTATGGTCTCTTGTTAATTTAACCAATCAAAATAACTTCAGCATTGAATCTTGAGTAATCATTATCTCCAAGTACCATTTGTGTTTCCCAGTTGTCCAACAGTATCAGTTCGATGTATCCATCTCGGGAGGATGGTATTATATTTGTTGGTGATACGACGAGAGACCTTTTAATATTGTAATTATACCTTGTAATATTGATATTAAACCTATTAATAATGTTATCGGACCTTTCAGTCACAAACTCGGACAATTCAGCATTCGATTTCATTTTTGTCCATCAAAATAGAACCTCTTACAGCAAAAATGGAAAGAAAGGAAACAAGAATTTATGAATTAAAGCATTCAGTTGTTTTGAATAACTTTGAAAGTTGCCCATATAAATAGTAAATGCTGTAAATGCTGTAAATGAGATATCATTGAGGTGACAAGACTAAGGGAATCCGGACACTGTAAATATATATGTATATAGATTTGTGTATATTATAATATAGTTATACTGTTTATTATATACCATGTAATATTCTTTCACGTAAAACAACTTGTTATGTATGTTAAAAATACTGATGTGACGTCATCCGTTGATGTTGGAGTACCATTGCAACGTGCCAATCTTACATTATTTATACATGTACGTTGAAATATTGGACTCGCGTGACGATATCAATGAAGTGCACGTGTCAGATAGTGTCTGTATTTTAAGTTGTTTAATTGTTTCGAGCAAGACATGGCAGTATCATTATATTACCTAATGTCTGGCTCACAACCATTAAACCCCACAGAGTAGTTATTTATGTAGAATAGGCATTGTAAACCCTATATATTTATGTAAAGTAGAAATTGTAAAACATAAAGTAAAAATGTTTGTTTTGTATATAGAGTAGGGATTATTTTGTATATAGAAATAGTTTACAGAAATAAACATATAACATATGCACTGAAAGGTAGTTTTCCATGTAGAGTAAAAGTCACGAGTCACTTTATCTATAATCTTTTGATCGTTTACATATACTATTCAAAAAAAGTAGGGGATATTTGATTTTGGGGGCATAATACTAAAATATGCAAATGACTACGAAAAAAGTCACTATAGAACCTAACAGACGAAACATTTCCAGTTACATGTGACGCCCAAACGCACCAATAGCTACCGCATGGAATGCAGGTGATGCTTGGGATCATCATGGGGGTCCAACCCAAGATTTGCACGACTCTGACTTTGAATGTTACAGTCATTGTGGCATTGAATTCCAGGGTGGAAACATCAGTTTAATTGTTTTAGTGACCAGAAAACAAATTTTGATATGCGTCGGCTTACCCAAAATGAAAGGTTACGTGCCCTTGGCATGCTACAGATCGGCACAACACAGGCGGTTGTGGCGCGGACGATGAATGTTTCTCAGTCTGTCATAAGAAGGCTATGGTCCAGATACCGTGATACACAATCTGTACAGGACAGACCACGCTCAGGTCGACCAAGGGCGACAATTCAAGCCCAGGATCGATTTATCCGTAGCTTGGCCTTGAGAAATCGTGTCATCACAGCAAATCAGATCAGCGCTCGTCTTCAAACAGACACTGGTGTGAGAGTGAGTGGCCAGACGATTCGGAATCGACTACATAGGGGTCACCTTCGCGCCCGACGTCCTCGCGTGATCCCTTGTTTGAGAGATCATCACATTCAGGCAAGACGTCGTTGGTGTAGGGATCGTCAACACTGGGATAATCGACGCTGGAGCAATGTGATGTTTTCAGATGAGTCAAGGTTCACTGTTGATTTTTTGGACAGACGTAGGAGGGTGTGGCGTCGTCGAAACGAGCGCTTCCAAGACGTTAACGTCATCAGACATGATCGATTTGGGGGTGGTTCTGTTATGGTGTGGGGAGGCATCACTGTTGCTGGAAGAACGGCTTTACATGTTGTTGCAGGGCGTGTTACAGGCCAGTACTACCGGGACAACACTTTGGCAGTCCATGTTGTGCCGTTCGCACGACGTCATGGCCGCCGTTTCATCTTCCAGGATGACAACGCAAGATGTCACAGGGCCAGGATCGTTACAGGTTACCTCCAACAACAGAACATCACCACATTACCTTGGCCAGCACTGACTCCCGACCTCTCCCCCATCGAGCATGTCTGGGACATGCTTGGACAGAGGTTATGTCAATGTCAACAACGTCCTGCCAATGTCCAAGAACTTGCTGCTGAGTTGCAACAGGAATGGGACAATCTGGACCAAAATGACCTTAGACGTCTCATTAGGAGTATGCCACGTCGGATCAATGCTTGTTTGGCAAACAGAGGAGGATTTACCCGTTACTGACTTGGTTGTGATGCTGTGGTAACTTTGCTGTTTGACCCCGGGTATCATTTTACCCTTATAATGGTCAGTCTGTGCCTTACTTAGTCTAACGATCATTTGGAATAAATCGATGAATGTGAACTTCATTTCATTTTGTCATTTGTTTCTTCGTCAGTTTCATTAGGTGACTTTAATAACACTTAAAAATCAAATATCCCCTACTTTTTTTGAATAGTATATATCGTAAGTTTCATTTAAATCGAGTAAAACATAGGGGGATTGGGTGGCCGAATGGTTAGTGCGTGCGCGTTGTATCATAAGGTCTGTCATTGATTCCCCGGTTGTACGTAGCAAGGAGTAGGGTCGCCTGTCCAGCCTCATGAATTTTCTCAGGGTCCTCCGGTTTTCTCCCACTGCTGAAGACCTCTATGCGCAAGCAAATTATTGAAATAGAACTGAACCATATGTTAGTCCCGAAATGACCTATATTCTGTCGAGTGGACGTTAAACTCTCTCTCTCTCTCTCTCTCTCTCACACACACTCTCTATCTCTGTCTCTCATAAAAAATTGTGGTCTCAACCCTCGTATATATTTTACAATGAGACGTCAAAATAAGGGGATCATAACCCTAAAAGTTGCGGTCCGATGCACACCAAAAGTTGAGGTCCGATGCACACCAAAGTTAAAAATATCCGAGATATTTGTCATATATTTTAGTTTCATCAGAATTGGCTAAAATATAGGAACCGCTAGATTGTCCACAAACGATTATTAACGGATGTCCTGACGTTCAGGCGGACGGACATGGATGCTAACATAATACGTCCACGTACAGTATAATCACAGTTTATTTAAATTGGTCGTACCCCCCCCCCCCCGCACATACAACTGTATAATTACCGGAAGTAAAAGGAAATAGAATTTTACACCCGTCTAATATTGTGATAGTTGAATTTATAAAAGGAATATCAGTCCAACCAAAAATGGCTCAATTCATTCAGTATTTACAAAGATATAATGAATTGAACATTTTCCCAAATTCGGCATCTTCTGCAGACGAAGTGGTCAAAACATGACAGCGTTACCTGTAATCTTGGTTACCTTTAACCTTGGCTAAAATCATCTGATGCGCATCTTTGTAATCTAGTTGAATGAAAGCCAGGAGATTATCTAGCGTTGATATTTATATTTTGTTTTCTTAATAAAATGTTAAATAATCCAGTTGATTACACGTTAGCGTGAATTAAGCTGTAAAGTTAAAAATTTGATATCTGCGGCTTTAAGAATAAACCAAGGTTGTTGGGTACATTAAAAATATGATTTTTAAAAGTAATTTGACTATTTTTTTCGCGGAAATGGTTTTTGAGGTTATGAGGTTATTAACATATACCACAGTTTACTGGTGTTTTTTTTACTACAAGGTTGTTTCACTTTTTATATGAACTAAAAGAATCAATAATTAAATACATACTACCAGAACGTTAATAAGGTCATGTGTGTATCTGCATTTAAAATTATATCTACCAGTTCTTCTAATAAACGATAAAACTGAAATCTTACAACTTCCCGTAGCCGTTAACTTGTCAAGCAAAAGCCAAGCAAAAACCTGTTCCCTTGTCAAACAAAAGTTTGTTCCATTGTGAGAATGGTTTAATGTTTCTTCAACACAATATATATATATATATATATATATATATATATATATATATATATATATATATATATACAATATATATATATATATATATACAATATATATACAATATATATATATATATATATATACAATATATATACAATATATGCAGTATATACAATATATATACAATACATATACAATACATACATTATATATACAATACATACAATAATACAGTATATCGTCGGTATCATTCTAAAACCTCGTAAGTCTGATCAACAAAATTTTACAGGAGGAACAAATAACTTCATAACTTATCAGATACTTGGCGGATTGGCCTAACATTTTCTTTTTGTACCTTTGAAAATAACCACTATTAGATGTTCTGTCAAATATAAGCTGACGTTTGTTCATTTTTAAGATTTCGGACTTACGAGGTTTTCACCCCCAAATCTGTTTCTGAACGTTTTTGTACCAGAACTGTATGATTTACGAGCTTTTGTATTCGCGTTGCTAGAGATAAATTGGGCATAAAATTGAAGGGAAATCATAAGTATTGTATTATGCCATTCTCTTTTTGGGTATTGACAGTGGGTAGGTAGGGGCGGCAAGTTACGTGCGAATTTCGGCAACAGTTAGATGCAAAGTAGACCCAAAAGCTCAATACCTTAAATTGAGGTATATTGAAGGTAGGTCTAGGTGTTCAGGAGGGTAATTAATTGAGGGATATTGCATGCAGCTAGTTATATACATTGTATGTTCAGTGGGGTAAGTGGCGTGAGGGATATGGTCCACAGGTAGGTCTAGATGCTTAGTGGGGTAAGCTGTCTGGGGCGTATTGCTCACAAGTAGGTCTAGATGCTCAGTAGGGTAAGTTACTTGAGGAGTATTGCCCACAGGTAGGTCTAGATGCTCAGTAGGGTACGCTATTGATGGGTATTGCCCACAGGTAAGTCTAGATGCTCAGTAGGGTACGGTATTGATGGGTATTGCCCACAGGTAGGTCTAGATGCTCAGTAGGGTAAGCCTAGGTGCTCATGGTGCCATTTACTGGACGGGTATTGCCTACCGGTAGGTAAAAATGTCCAGATGGCTAAGTTACCTGAGAGATATCACCTATAGGTAGGTCTATATGCCCACTGGGATAAGTTACTTGATGAGTATTGCCCGCAGGTATGTCTAGATGCCTAGTCGGGTACGTTACTTGGGGGTTATTGCCCACAGGTAGGTCTAGACGCTCAGTCTGGTAAGTTACTTAAGGAGGGTTATTGCCAACAAGATGCCTAGTGGGGTAAGTCACTTGAGAGAAATTGCCCACAGGTATAGCTTACTTAAGGGATACTGACCACAGTTGATTAAGTTACTTAAGGGTTATTACCCACAGGTAGGTCACAATAATCAGCATGACAACTTACGTGATGGGTATTGCCTACAGGTAGGTGTAGGTACAGATAGGTCAAGATACTCAGTGGGGTAATAACGTACGTGAGGGGTATCGACAGCAATATGAGAATCTTAGACTGATTCCGCGAGACTTTTTTGCTTGAAAACTGAAAAAAAGATTCATGTCAGAATTATAGAATTTGACCAAGAGATTATCGTGGGCCGTTATTATTGCAGTGGCTTTTGTATTTTCAATAAAGAAGCGTAAAACTGACAAACATGGGCACTAAATAAGATTTATTTGACGTAGCCTGGCAGTAATGACTTGGTATTGCCTTTACCTTATTATGTTACTAAAAAGAGATAATCTCCACCTTAAAAACAATACAAGAAATGATATTATTTACTCCCTATAAATTATGCATACTATGACACATCTTATTACAAC